CAGGTGATTTAGAAATGTATTTTTTAATTATTTTCACTGATTAATAACCATGGCAACCAAAGGTAATAGGTAAGAAAACTAACTTTCTAAAATCCAACAAATATGTCGATAGGAATAACAGGTAATGTCATTTAAGTTTTCATTAATCAGACTCGTAGTTCAAAATTCTTGGTTTAATTCAATAGATTCTGCTAATTCCACAATCTAAAAGTTCTTTAGTTTCAACACACAGTCCAAATTCACACTGTTGACTGTTCAATTCCTCACAGTGGCAAGGGTGTAATTTTAGATAATTTTCAAGGTGCTTATCTAATAAGGTGAGAATTTGGATGGTCTGAATTTGCTTAGGCCTCGTTTGATTAGGCTTTTTTTCTCCGTTTCCGTTTGAATACGCCGAAATCAATTAGTATTTACTGTTTGAAATCAAAGCTTAACAATAATTCCTTTTTAATAAACATCGTTTTTTCGGCGGTTACAAAATTCTTTTCGTATATGCTTCTTCGTTCACAAAACGGAGTTTCGGTCACAAAATGTCTTTTATAATAAAATCTCAAAAGCAGAACTCCTAAACAAACAATTTAAAATTACTTTCAAGTATTAATAAGCACTTTTAAAAATATTAGTCAAACATATCTCATTATTGAAACTCCATTTTATTGAACGGCTTTTTCTCAACCTCCTTTTCTAAAACTCCTTTTTATGTAAGCATAAACCGAATCAAACGAAGCCTTAGACCAATTGACAGTGTGTGTTCGTAAGACATGAAGAAGTGAAACTACACTTTAGTTCTATAGAGAAGTAGCCCTGCAACTATGACTTAGAGAATGATAAATAATGATAATTAAATACTATAAAACTGAAAATTGTAAACAACAAGTCTATTCAATCATGGTAGCACATTTCATTTTCATAAATCATGCTATTAATGCAGTTACTAGTAAGGATCCGGAATACTCACCCCTCCATACAACCACAATCATATGGAAAAAAAAAAATTAAATTTGACTTTTGAAAGCTTTTTCTGTTCAAAACCGTCACTTTTTTTTGTTACAACTCATATAAATTACTTAACCGCCACCAGCACAATCACACATGAAACAAAAATGAGAAAATGTTGTGAACTATAAAAACTTTTTTTATTTAAATCTTTGCTTTGTTTTTGTTACCACTCAAAATTTTCTACCTCCCCATCCCCACCCCCTACCAACCCACCTCCTAATTCTCTACCTCTAATAAAATTGTAGATGTGACAAGACCCAATGCACACAAGTGAGAGGTCAAAACAAATAAATGGTAGAATAAACTCATGGGGACCTATTTATATAGTAGTTGTTTCCAGTGGATTGCTTCTAAATGAAACATCTAAAGAAGACAGAAAATCAATATATAGTGGTCAATTATAAACTATTGTAACATGCAAATTAAATCACAAAGAAATATGAAAATGCTAACAAGAGAAGCGCAGTTTCCCAATGACATCTCCAACAAGTATTTGAAAAATAATACTACTACAACCAAGTTCAAGACATTAAATCTTAACAAAAGCAAAATTGTTTAATGCATCATGCCAATCATTGTGGAGTTCTAGTAGAACATAATTTGCATAAGTTGTATATGAAATTGACCGAAAAATGGATTAAAACAATGCCCATGAAAATTTCCAAGACAGAGAATTAAAATGGCAATAGATAGTATGGATAAGATTTCATCCACTCATAACAAACTCCACGAAAAGATGAAATACTATCTATAAATAGGAAATTTATATCTTCAAACTAAAAGATAATTCTAGAAGAACTTATCCTAATCATGAATTTAAAATTCAAAACAAGTTTATCCAGACAAATTTAAAAATTCAAACTCATCTTATCTTACTATAATCTGAATTTTAATCCAACAGCCCAACTTTCAGTATCTTCATCTCTCATATGATGTTAATTGATTATTCGATTGTATTTATGGACTCCTGTCAACATCCTCTATGACCTCAATGATATGAGGTACAAATAACTATTATTTACATTTTACATCAAGATATTAGAAAGTTAAAACTTCAATGAGCAGGATCCTTTTGTTCTTTCCAAAATCTAATGCCTAAATTATGATAATATATTATATGATTTATCACATATTTTATATAATCATCAAATGTTGTGCCTCTCATTTTAAGAGGATTTCACTCTTGTCAAACTGAAGATTGAGATGAGGGAAAGCTATATACCCAACTTCCTTGTCTGTCATTTAAATTTGATTGGTAATTAGCATTGTCCTAATACCTTTTCATGATTGCCTTCAACTGTAATTTGAAGTATTTGAGAACATCTTTCACTTTCAAAATCCATCCAATTGTAAACAGCTCTACATGACCAACTCGCATATTGCATTGTGCCTGCTGCTTGTTCAAATTCACTTGCACATAATCACACATGCTCACATGCATGTCCACATGATCACTCTCTCACATGCTTGCTTGTTTACTCGATTTCTCGTTGGCCTGCATGCTTCCACATTTCCTCGCTGTCATTTACATTTCTTCTCTTACTCGTGAGCACTTGCTCAGCTCAGTATCACTAATCGCCCTAACAATTCATCCACCTAACATCGCTTTTGACTTAGCATATGCACATCAAGCCTCGACTCCACCTCCTCCTCCCAAACACATCCATGAAAAGAAACCATTGTCTGCTACTTCTTCATCCAATAATGTCCTCACTCAATTACCTAACTAATTCCAATCACCTCTCATGAATCTGCCAATTCTTTCCTAACTACAGCACATAAGATTACCCATTAGATTTCAATAATTATTAAATCTAATTCAATGTTGAACGTTTCTATGTTAGAGGCAAAGCCTACTTTCAAGTTTTATGAATTTCTTGATATGTTAGCATGAAATCAATTTAATTAAAGAAAATGATGCGCCTGAGATGAACAAAATATATTTGGAAGATATTCTATAAAAACAAAAAACTAGCAGGGAATATTATGCAATCTCTAATTTCAATATGATGGTGATTATTGAATAAAATATTACCTAAAGGTTCTAAATGAAGTAGTTAAAGAACCATTCAATTTAATATGTAAATGCTGCCCTAGAGCTCATCAAATATAATATTATGCAACATGCTCAAATCAATCATGCATTCTTGTATGTTTAAGCATAAGTGTAATAATATGATTGAGCATAATTGTGAGTGTAACAATTATGTGTTTGCAAATGTGTTAGCTTAAACAAAGATTTTTAACAAACTATGTTATTGCACCTACGTTTAAAGAGTTTCTAATAAATTTTTTTGTTGCCCCCTAATGCCTAAAGATGGAGATACATATATCACCAGCATCAGATTACTCCAATATCATAGTGAGTTTGATAGTAATGCCATGAGAATATGGGATATTTATGTTACTAATCTAGTACGACTAAAATATACCTTCTAAGGCTCATTGCTATGATTTCAATGAACGCAATTGTAACTGCAACCAAAGAGCTAAAATTTCACAGTATCCATTCTACATCAAATTCCACTCAACCGCACTATTTGCACAAAACAACATCCTAGTCCATTGATAGCAATTGGCAAAACCTGCAATAGTTGAATTTTACATAATCATGGCATGTAAGCACTGTTAAATAAGCATCTTCACTAAACAAAAGAAACAAAATTTCAACCATTCAGTAATCATCCTCAAATTCATCCATCCAATAGACAAATTCACGCCCCTTTCCACTAACTATATGCAGCAAAGGAATTTTCAACTTGGATAAATTAAGACAAAATCTTAAATGAATCACAGTCGTTGCCACCACTCTTCTGTTCAGGTAAATGGTCAAAAGATTCGGATGTAAATTATCAAATAAGCATCACTGACTTCAACAGATAACATATTACAGTAAGAACAGGAAGGAAATTTGGCTATCAATTTAAAGATCTGTCTTAATAGTTACCAGGAAGGAGCTTGTCCCAGCTGAGCATATCCTCAAGTATTTGCTCGCATTCCCTAGTATCCTTCAGGAAGCCCTGCTCTGTTGCCTCTTTGATCATTTCATCCCACTTTCGATCATCCATGTTGAAGAATTCGTCCTTCATCAACTTCTTCTCCACGTACTCACGAGCATTATAGAGGTCAACAATCTCCTCATCGGTCTCGTGGAGTTCCTCGAAGTCGGATTCGAACTCGGCATCCTTGACATCCTCCAGCGGCGCCATCCGGAGTTCGTCCATCAACTCATCATCCGTTTCTTCGTGCTTCTTAGAAAGCCCGCGCTTCAATATAGCCTCCATAATCGACGGAAGTATTTGCTCGTCCCCTTTGAAGTACTGTTCGATAAGGCCATTCAGCTCTGTAAGGATATCAAGGGGGGAAAAGAAAATGAGAAATTTGTAGCTAATAGGAGAACGGAGGATGCCGATGGGAGAGTTTACCCTTGTTGCTGACATCTTTGATAGCGAGATCAGCCTTCTTGGAATCATCTATGGAGGAAGGTGCGAGATGAGGGTAAATACAGAGAAGGAGATGATATTGTTAGCTGGATTTTTTATGGTTATTGTTATACTGTTTTGGTGTTTTCTTTTTTTGTTCGTAGTTGGCAATTTCTTTATATGATAGAAATCTTTTCCTGTTTTTGATGACTTATTATTCAATTGACATTCTATCTTTCTGCTTTTGTCTTAGAATAATTCTTCTAAAATTCATCAAAACTCTAGTTCTTCTTGAGCAAATTCTGTAATGTTTCATACTTATTTCTGTTTCGTATTTCTTTGGTCCAGGAAGTTCTGGTTAAGCACTAAGAAAATTTGAATCTTGGGCGGTAGTTACTTGTTGAGGTGGAGCGATAGGACCGATCTCATGGTTTGCTGCTTCTTCCCCCCGTGCCGTCTCTCTTTGTTGTGTTAATGTCTTTCCTAAGTTGTGCGGATGCTCAACAGTTAGTATATTTGTTTGTTACTCCTATGTCATCTCTGTTTATTTTGTTTCTTTTTTTGTCCCATTATATATCCATTTGTCTTTGGTTTTTTGCTTCACCAGTATGCATTATGCTTGCATTTTAATGGCCAAGCTCTAGTGTTTTTGGTTAGGTTTTATATTCACTCTTTTTGAAAATAATTTGCGAGTGAATTAGCGTTCTTTTTGTAGTATTTGGTGTGGTTAGGTTTAACGGCTACCATTTATTTTTAAGATATTAATCAAGGAGTTTGTTTTCAATTAAGTGATTTTTCGTTTGAATAGAATATGTTTTTTATGGTTTGTTTGACGACTCGTCTAATATTTGGCATATTAATATATATTGATAGATAGTCGTATAGTTCTTATTTCGATGTATTCATGTTTATTTTTTTTTCACCGATTATCTTAGGCGTGTTCTATTTTCCTGAGTTCTCCACACGCTTCCTAGTGAGTCCCTCCCATTCAGGTTAAGTTTGCGATTTGTTGCTGAGGGCAGCTTGTTTTAGGCATGCGGATTCCCGTGGATTTTCAAATACTCTAGAGTCGTCCTATTTATGGTGCGGGGCCGGGCGCTCACCTTTCATATTTCAGTGAGTTGCCGCCAAAGGTTGGCTTTGGGGTATGTACGAAATATAGTGGTCCGTGGGCACCCCTGACGTTGAACTCCACATAATGGTTTCACTAACTCTCACTTTATTCTTAAAGGGTATTGCCATCACTGAGAGAACTGAATGACCCTTTGCAAATTTAAGGAACACTTAAAAAGATAATTGCCGCAGAGATGCGGAGTCCTCTGCGTTTCCCCTTTAAATATCCACTGTTACAGCTACGCGAGCGCTTCCTTTAAATTTTACATGGTTAGAACCACCAAGAAAACAATCGAACTGCACCCTCATAGACTGTCATGATTTCTTGTGATGTTAACCATTATTTATCTCCAGAACACTCCGGACTGGCTTACCTTAGCATAATAAACATATCCTTTAATAATTTATACAACACATGAGCATTATAATAAGCTCGGTTCAGAGTGGCCACGAATCCATTGCTTTCTCTTTAGGAGGCACGTTACTTCATTCATTTTTGCCAAGTGGGCACCAAAATAAAGCACTCACCGGGACATCTCAAATATTTATTCCGGAAAACCAGAAAAAAATTCTTTCATACAACCACTTCTCTCATCATTTAAAATTACAAATCCACTTTTGCCATGCACTCTGCCAGTTCGCATACACATTCATACTTTTTTTGCTTCACCTTCATTCTTCTTATGACAAACGCACTCAGGGCTGCGACTTCTCTCTTTGTGTTCAATCTTTTCTCTTACTAATAATAAACTTCTAAGTATATTTCCTTAAATTTTATTGGTGGGTGAAAAGATATATTAAGTTTTTCAATACAGCATTATTTACGCAAGGAGACGCGGGTTCCGGCCCATCAGGATCAAGCCCATTAAACTTGCCATGAAGCCTCTTTCGTTCGGCTTGTTTTCACCTACCTCATGCTTTAGAAGATGATCTCATTTGAAAGAAGTGCAATTCTTTGCCACTAGTCCTCTTACAGATTGTTGATCATCCAACCTATAACAATAATGTGTATACTGATTTTTCTAACATTTTCCTTGTAAAGAATCTTGATAGCAAATACAGCCAACAGTAATAATAACAATACTTGATCTTTATGATCTATATCACTAGACTGAAAGCCCCTATATTGAATCTGCAACATAAGAGAAACTGAAGTAAACTCTGAGTTCGCGATGTGATTTACTATTAGTGCTGTTCCTAGCACATTGGTGCTCTTGAAGCTAATCACCGAACGTAACATAGTGTTTTCTGCCGGATTTTCGAATGAATTTATTTAATGATGTTTGGTTTTAACCCAGGACGAGATTGATAAACCCTATATAACCGCTCAATAAAGTTTGAGATCTACACCTAATCTTTTTTGTATTTGCTTTCTGGCTACCAGGAGTCTACGGTGGTGTGCAAAAGGGGCAACTTTTTGTTCGTCTCCCAGACATAAGTGGCTTGAATTCATTGGAGAGAGTACTGTCTTTCCTATAACATCTTATACCTCGAGCATTCCTCTTAGGGCTTGCTTCTCGATTCTATGCCTTAGTGTGACGACCCATGGGTTGACCACTTTATCAAAGATCGGCCCTCTCATGTTCAGATATAATAAAAGAACTCTTTTGACTGTACACATGCATTTTGGTTCTCCTAAACAGGCTTATATTTTTTTTTTCGGTCCGAGACTATGGACTGCTGGGGTACGTTTCAGGAGACTAGTTTGCTTGTTCCTCTAGTTATACGATGGCGATTCAAGGGTGATCGATACATGCTTCACATCCTAATGTCATTCGAGTAATTAACGCATTATGCTGGTCTGTGGCTCTAATACCATTTAAATTAGGCAGGAAGCTGCCACAATTCTCGAATCCGGCCAAGGGAAAATCCCAAACAAATGTAAATACGCAAATATGCTTATCCATACAAAAGGGACTCTATAAAGTTCTGACCACAGGAGGAAAAAGGTAAAATATATGGGTGCGGAAAAATTGATGTGCGATTTACATACAGTTCGCAGGAAGGATATAATAGCTCTCACTTAGGAGAACGATTCATAATAGGGTGACCTTCTTCACCAGAACGCGGTAGGACAGAAAGTGATGGAACCACATATTTCCCTAGCTTTATGTTTACAAGATGATAAATGCAGAATGATTACGCACCAATCATTACTCGATGAGCCAAAATTTTCGGCCCGGAATTGACTATAATGATAAGTGATATAGAAGTGTTGATATGCACATTCGATTGATTCTATAATCATAATGATCCGTCTAGTAGACGCAATCAGACAGTGAGCATAACTCTTTAAACTATGTAATATATAGAGAATATACGAGAAATGTGAGGGCACGATTTGATAAGAGTAACCGCGGTCGCCATTGAGGGGAGTACTCGTACCCTGCCATTGCAAGGTAAAGTCAAAAGGGTGTTCGCCACCAGGAATTGAAGAAAATTCTAATCCTTCTGAATGACTACTCTTTATTAGTACAGGTCAAGTACTCGACGATTGCGAGTGAGATAAACTATCGTACACTATTTCCGTGGGCTATGAGGTATAGAGAATCATATCATGTATTCGATTTGAGATTTCGCGGGCCAGATAAAACCTCTTTAAGCATTTCATAAGTTCATTTATGAACCTCGTGATTCATAATTTAATTGATTAGTATGGGGCCGATTGACAGTTTTTGACATAAGTGGTCATATGCCATTTATGATGACAGATAAGACTGTAGAGATTGAGGATGCTAGCCAGTGAGAACTGATGAAAGTCCGGAAGGGGCCCAGTAATAGTTATCACACGCTAAATGGTGTCGATGGAATTTTACTCCACATTTGATCATTAAACGTATAAAAAGTCGGGGGAGGCCATAATACTTGGTAATTTCTCACCTGATAACATTTTCCGTTCCTGTGTGCTCCTTGTAAGTTAGCTTGATTTAACGTTCGATTTAAAGTCATAATTGTGTTTATAAGTAGACCAAAGCATGGATGTCGGGACAGTCATATGTGTTCGTTTGGGTTCTTTTCTAAACGCTACTTATTTTTGGTATAAATTTCTCCTCAATAGACATTTTTCTGTTTTACATATTACATTTATTTTTATTGAACTATTATTGGCACACAATTCTCCTCATTTCTGATTCTATAAGCTCCCAATTTTTCAGTTATGATTTCTTGTTATCGTGGCATCTTATGATAATCATGTGGTTAAATTGCGATGTGAGCGTAAATCCTTTGTCCTCTCTCTATTGCTAATGTATAGTAGATAATCCTTGATTATCAAATACTGTGTGTAAAAAAAATCCACAGTATCTCAGATTAGTAGCTCTGCCTCCTCTTTGTCGTATCATTGGAATGGATTTCGATATGTATTCCCCTGATAAATCAGCAACTGGATAGCGTGTTGATGTTATTTTTAATAATGCCTTACGTGACATGAGAGCGTTTTCTTAAACATTTAGTGTATTCCGCATCAGCCCTATGGAAACTTGCTCTTTATGTGACCTTTAGAGTTTGGGGATTTAACCTTCCTTTAAAGCCCCTCTTCTCTTCTCCATATTCGCTTATCCACTTTATAGATTCAGTGTCTGCGAGCATGTTCATTATGTGTATATATAGGATTGCATTATATTAAATGTTTTAAAAAAGTAGGGGTAGTCCATCTGTCAGTGCCGGGAACCGATTGACCAGTGGATAATTCATCCTTGGTTGTCCATAGGCTGTCTCGCCACCTGGTAACTAATTAAATTTATAGGTCGCGAGTCACGTACCCGTGACAATCTAGTCATCACTCTAACTTAATATTTACCTTTAATTTCAGATCTTCTCATGTTTTTGTCATTACAATACTAACATATATCTTTGTTCAATATCCCTACGCTATGCTTAACCTCATAGTCAGCATTAACTGTGTTTCAATTATCCGATTCCTTTTTGAAACAACCATATTTAACTCAC